CAATATTTCAAGCATAACAAAATGTGGCCCGATCTGAATGAAAATGATTTACTTATGTAAACGTACATATGACGTTTTGTGAAAAATCTGTATGTGATAGAGAAAAAAGGGATATCATTTTCGGATTCGGCGTACAGGAATTACTGTAGAACATGTACTAATGTCAAGATAATAAAACCATCGCAGGCCTGTGTTATTAATTTTGGAGAAATTTTCCACCTTGCACGATGCTTATTTGGTCTGCAGAATTATTTTTTTCCGGTCATCTTTAACAAAAAAACACAAAATTCAATTTTATAATGTGACTTGGACGTGTACAATCATAAATTTTAAGTCTGAATTTCTCCACCCTGCACAATTATAAACTTCTTTAGTTTCCCACCCTGTACTATCCTGCCCTGCACTATTAATTGAAACACGAAAGTATATAATGAAATAATTTGTCCCTAAAACACTTTGGGTAGAGTGGATTACTGCCAAAGCTGTACGTATATATTAAAACTTTTTTGTTTTTCATAGAAGCAAGCAGACGTTATAGTTGTTATGCGCTGTTTAATTTATTTTAATAAATAGTATGTAGTTTAACTTTAGGCCCACAACTGTACTTAAAAGTAAAATTATTATTTACTGCAGAGGTGTAATTTAGGCCTTTTGTGACTTCATCTTTAAACTATAATTACGAATGTGAAATCAATAGGTCTTCACCTATATGAAAAAATGTTTCTTTCAATGAACTGAAAACATAGAGCTGTCCAGCAAAGGCCTGTGTATACGAAAACTAACCGTCTTTGGTTTGTTTCAAAGGCCTGTGTCCACGAAAACTAACCGTCTTTGGTTTGTTTCAAAGGCCTGTGTCCACGAAAACAACCGTTTTTGGTTTGTTTAGAAATTCGCGTAAAGCTACGCGACGTCACGAGGGCTATCTGCGCTAGCCGTTCCTTATTTAGCGCCAACTCTTGAGCTACTCTGTTACCAACGGACATTGTAACGCCCCCACGGCTGAAAGAGGGCGAGCATGTTTAGTGGGACAGAGATTCGAACCTGCGACCAACAGATTGCAAGTCGAGTGCCCTAACCACCTGGCCATGCTAGGCCAGCGGTGTTTTCTTATGTGCCTGTTTTATGTGTAGTAAGTTCTTTTATTCTATTTTAATGCAGAGTAAATGGAGAAATGGCTGATTTTCAAAAAAAAGAGAGGAAAATTTCAATAGAAGACAAGTTAGTTGTTAAACAACAACAAGCCTCGTTGACGGGCCATTAGTCCAAGGGCCTGTTACTCCAAAAGCCCGATAGTTCGAAGTTTTGTTTAACAGTTAAAATGTCAGATTGGTTGTTTAGGTAACACCCCCAGGATATAACCTAAAAGGCTGCAATTTCTCATGAATGAATGGATAATGTTTACCATCCTTTCCTTGTTGTTTTCTTCCATGTATGTATTGTGTTAGCTGCAGATCCCGCATATTTACGCATCAGGATTGGATTTCGGAATCTAGCTCTTCTGAGAGAATGAACAATCAAGATTCTTATTCCATAATATTGTGACAACGAAAGTTATATCTCCTACTTCATTATACATGTTGAAAGTTTCCAGTCAGTAGTAAAAGTATCTTGACTTCGAGCAAGTGCAATGAGCTGTATACTACAATGTCGATTCAAATATTTCTGTTGTTTGTATTTAAAAAGAGAGCAAGCCGTCAGGGGCGGCTGGTCCCCCGAAACCCCGCCAAGATATACCCTTTAAACTTTTCACTTGATATTGCATTCATCTATTATGGGCCTACGAATCTCTATATTCAATTTTAACTTGTATTGTGAAAACCAAAAGTCTGTGACAATCGGACCTTCGCAATACTTCGTGATCCCCATGGAAACAGAATCATCTTGGAGAACGGAGACAGCAGGAAGCTTATAGAAAGAGAAACGAACGTACAACAACTTTTAATAAAAATGTATTATTCACAAACGTTTCATAAAGGAATGATTATTAAACGTGACTTGGAAACGGACATTACATCATATTAAACGAAACGGCGAATTTACGAGCGAAGCGAGTTTGGGTTTCGATTAGCAAATACAATAAAAACGACTACAATTTTTACATGTATAAAGTTATATTTTCATGTTGTTCCACAATATTACGAGAATACGGCGATATCTTTTCCTGTTTTGACCACATATGATGTGAACATATCTCGTGGTACCATTTAGTAACTCGTGTGCACGAGATAGCATATACACACTTCACCATGTTCATTTAGGGTTCGGTGAAATGGATCCATGTGTAAAGATATTATAGCCACCCCTGACAAGCTAACCATCCGGCAGAGTAAGCACCAGGCCGTTAAATGTGGTGAATTCACAGTTAAGGTAAACTAATTATAACTATCTTTTTCAGGCTTTCTATTTTTATTTTTTAATCGGTAATTATTTTCCCTAGATTTGGGTAGGAATATTCATTTCCCTTGTGCTTGCAACGCTACTTATGACTATCAGTATTCATCTGATAGAGGGCGACAGTGTCTACGACTTGCTTCGCTATTTGTGGTATTTTACAGGATCTATTGCTTACCAAGGTGAGTTCCTAATCGAGACTTGCATAACAGTTTTATCACTAATATATTTAATTTAATTATATGGTAAGATACAATATTTCCTGAGCTTGAGAAATTCATTAAACAATCTTGGCATTGGGCGATTTCAGGATAAAGAAAATATTTTTATACTACATATAATATTACAAACAGCTCTCATATATAAGTGAGGGAATTGTGTTAATCAAGTTACCTGTTGTGCTGAAGTGCATTTTTTTTTATTTCAGAAAGTACAGCAAAGTTAAATGAAGATGGCGTACTTTACTGCTCATATTTTATTAGAGAAGTTACATTTCGAACTAAAACTTTTTTTTTTGGTGGTTGTGGGGGGGTATACAACAGTTTGCATTTTTTTTCTCGACAAACATCGTTCAGTACATATAATACTGAATACTATCATAGACGGACTCCTTTTTAGATAACCCTCAGTGGCACAGCAGTATGTCTGCGGGCTTACAACGCTAAAAACTGGATTTCGATACCCATGCCACCAGATAGCCCATTGTGTAGCTTTGTGATTGATTACAAACAAACAAAACGTTTTAGATATATATATATTTTTTACGAAATAAAGCCAAAATTAAAGGTTCTTTATCAGTTAAGTCGTTTTGTGTATTTTTGAGGAAATTTTTATCATACATTTTCACAGTTTTGCTCTAATTTTTATAATAAAAAACCAAAGGCAGTGTTTCTTTTTGCTTCGAAATTTCCAACCGTTTTCTATTGATTTTAAATAATTGGCTGTTTTGACATTGATTCTAGATTACTTGTAGAATATGTTTTGTTTTTATTATTTTTCTACAAGTAGATTTAAGAAATGATATTTCAGTATAATGTTTATGCCAAATTGTAAATATCCAAGGGACAAATTCACAATATCATTGATCAATCGGAACGTTTCCTTGCGTTGGTAAGTTTAAGTTTAATCGCAAAGCTTCACATGGGCTATCTGTCTTGTGCCCAGAGATAAAATCCCGAATTTTATAATCTCATAAATTTACAACTGAGCCACACACAGGAGGGCAGTCTTCTTGTGGATATCTGATTATATTCGTATGTGTGTTCTGTAGCATTTTGTATTATAAACATATGTTATATTAGTTTGCATTGTTTTCAGAATTCCATTAATAGAAACTATTATAATAATGGGTAATAAGTAGTATATTTTCTTGCTGTGTGTGTATACCGACATCTTTTCTATTTAGTAACAGAAGAACGCTTTTATGGTTCCGATTCTTTCTTTCACATATATAATTAAAACTAGGCGTAGTATGACTGCTTTTAATGATGTTGTTTTGTTACGGTGCAACATTTCAAATTCGGAAATTTGTCTTCGTTCTTTACTTTTCTTTCAGTTTGTGTTATGATTAATCTGTGTATTTTAAGTTTTTTAATTTCAATTATATTAAGTGTAATTATTACGTCATCTTCTTCAGTACAACACCTTAAATGTAAACAATTTTGGAGCTGCGTGGAAATGATAATAGATCTCACTTTTTGATTTTAACAAAACTTCGTTGAAGCATGACCAATTAAAATTCTGTGGTTTTACAATTAAAATGAAATACGATCAGGACTAAATTTTTCTTTTCAGATTCTCTAATTTATTTTAGTTAATTGGAACAAGTGTATGAATTTTAGGTCACGTTAGAAACTCTAATTCAAGTGAGGTAGTATAGATAAACTTTGGTATGAGATGATTCACTTTAAGACCGTATTCATGTGCGTATGTCACGTAAACCAATTATTGGGGTAGTTGAATATGTTGTATGATTTGTATATAGCAATGGCACCAGTTTCATCTAGTCTTGGTGATGTTGACTAACGTAAACTTAGTATTGGTGATAGAAATAAGTTACCTTTTATGTAAACGTTTTGGGATTAAATCGTTATACAAGATATCTAAGAAAGTTAGTGTTATCCACTTGATAAAGTAAAGAGGTTATTTATGCATAAATAAAACTGTGGTTCACTCTTTAAATCGACTTACTTGTGTGTAAGCCAAATGTTTTTGTATGATACAGCTTTTCCCAGAACTCCAAGGCCAGTAAGCAGCCGTGTCCTCTTGGGAAGCTGGTGGCTTATGGTTGTGGTGGTGATGTCAGCCTACAGCGGAGTGCTAATTTCCACCTTGTCCATGCACGTTCGTGTTAATCCTATAGACTCGATCAAAGATCTTCAAAACCATCCGGAAATAAAAATCATTATGGAGAAAGGTGCTATCGAAGAATACATGTTACGGGTAAATATGGATGAAACACTCGTACAGATACTGCTAATTTCATATCACATATACATGTTACGGGTAAATGTGGATGAAACACTCGTACAACTACTGCTAATTTCATATCACATATACATGTTACGGGTAAATGTGGATGAAACACTCGTACAGCTACTGCTAATTTCATACCACATATACATGTTACGGGTAAATGTGGATGAAACACTCGTACAGCTACTGCTAATTTCATACCACATATACATGTTACGGGTA